CTTTCACTCCCTTCGTCTGGCAGCTCTGCGCATGCGCACACTGGGAACAGGCTCCAGTTGTTCATCTGTCTCACTGATGCCTGACTCTGAAGGCAGCTGATAACTGTCAGACGGCCCTGGCCCCCTCTCTGCCTCTGACACAGAGCTTTCATCAGAGCCTTCCCCAGACTCCAGGTCTGGCCCATGTTCCTCCCCAACCTCCTCACTGTCCGAGTCTCCTGCCAGCTCTGATGGCCGCTGGTGGGCCACAACTCAAAAACCTCTCTCTATCATCTGATAGGCCACTCAGATGCGGAGAACTGATCTTGGGGTTGTGTGTATGGTGACCACGTACTGATGAATTTCCTTCCCTTGTCCAAATATTTTTTCCACTCCAGCAACTCCAACTATTATTAAATCTGCTGTGCCAAGGCTTCAGATGGAGACGAGGTTGACAGCTACCTTCAACTCAGCCAACAAACCTCCCTGCTCCACCGTGATTTGTCTTCACATGAGGCCATCTAATTTGGTATGCAGATAATGGGGCAGTTCCGCGCGCACCTCCGTGCCCACATGCTGGAAAACAGCCCCATAAATCTCGGGTTACCATTAGAATTTCATGGGAACCTAGAGCTGAAATTTGGAATCTCATTATTCAACCAGGCATTAACTCACATCATTTCAGGGTATCGTCTCGGAGTCCAAAATAAGTTTATAATTTATAGCGAGTTCAGCCTGAAGGCTCTCCGCTTACAGATATATACCAGGGAGGAAGATGACGGACCTGTCACTCCGGCGCAGGTGAGTTAAGCTGATGAAATAATTGGTGGATTGCCCATAAATTTATCGCGGGAAGCTGGGAAAGAGAGTTGTAACTTGGCTGGAGAAGACAGAGGATGATCAGGGGAATCATATCTCCATATGGAAGATCTTTCAGATAATCTGGTACAAGGGAAGCGTTTAGGGAATGGGGGGGGGGAATAGAGATAGCTGGGGTTTTATAGCCAAAACAAAAGGCTTTCTCCTGAGAACCAAGGGCATTCCCACAGGTGGCCAGAGATAGAGAGGAGGAGTGAAGTTACCAGGCAACTGGACGGCACCTTGATTGGACCATGTGACTGATTGTTTGGGAAAGGGAGGGAAACTTTTAATTAGGTGAAAACCGCAGGAATCTTCAGAGTCGGTTTTCACCAGAACTGTGCCAATATGATATATCCAATAAAATTATTCTTAGAGGAATCTTACCTTCCTCAGAGCTTTGCTTGCTGTGGGGGTATTACTTGGAACCCTGACAGTGGTTCCAAGATTAGAAGACCTCCAAGGTCCCTTCCAATTTTGTTATTCTTTAGGTCTGCAGGCTGGGAATCGGTGGTGGGATTCAGCCAGCTCGCACCTATTCGGGAGAACCGGTTGCTAATTTTCCAAGCAGTTCAGAGAACCGGTTGTTAGGAGAAACCTCCTTTTGTTTTTCCCCCACTTTGCAGGGCTAATCCTGTAAGGAAGTCAGGAAGGAAACATTCTGGTGTTGTTTCTAGCCTGATCTTCTTTGCCTTGCTTACAGAAACGGCCTCTCCGGTTAAGCCTTATTACATTGTCACAGCTAAGGCGAAGTGCCCATCGACCTGAGTGACGTTGAGTTGGCCATGCCCACAGGGTCACATGACCACCGAGCCACACCCACCCAGCTGGTCATTAGGGCAGAGAGCCGGTTGTTAAATTATTTGAATCCCACCACNTGTTTTCCTTCCTTCCTTTCTTTTCCTCCCTGTTTTCCTTCCTTTCTTCCTCCCTCCCTGTTTTCCTCCCTTTCTTCCTTCCTTCCTCCCTCCCTCCCTGTTTTCCTTCCTTCCCTCCCTCCCTCTGTTTTCCTTCCTTCCTTCCCTTCCCTCCCTGTTTTCCTTCCTTCCCTCCCATTTCCTTCCTTCCTTCCCTCCCTCCCTGTTTTCCTTCCTTTCTTCCTCCCTCCCTCCCTCCTTTCCCTGCCTCCCTGCTTTTTCTTTTTTAATGGACATCCCACCCTGCATTGAAAGAACGAAGAAGCATCTTTCATCTCCTTGATGATTCCTTAGGCAGTTTGTGGGAGGACTAAGGTCAATTAGCTTAGAAATAACTTCCGCCTCACCGCTTTCTGATGTTTGCTTGTCCCTTATTGGTTTATTTAGCTGTTCTTAAGTGCTTTGACCAAGGGAGAAATTTAGCAATTTAGTAATGGGGGAGATAGGAGCTGATCCATCACAGCTTGGGTTTTAAAGATGGCTTCCAATATCGACTGAATATCGATTCAGCGCCGAATCCTACGGCAGTAGTGTATCGTCATACAAAATGAATTTCACAATGGTGGACTTCACAGAATAACAGACTTGGAAGGGACCTTGGAGGTCTTCTAGTCCAACCCCCTGCTCAGGCAGGAAACTTGGATAATGGCCTCTTTGCATCCTTTATTTCTGTCGAGAAATTGAGGCCATCACATTTCTTACTATCTTCACAAGAACCCCGTGAGGATTTTAAGGCTGGGATAGCTGGGATATTTTCGTGGGAATAAGAATTAAAACTAGATTAATCTGTTGTAACACATACTTTTGTTGATTTTTTCCACAACTGGAAGTGGTAGCTAACTGTTTACTCATGTTCTGCCTCAGGCTTCCCGAGAGCTTCCCCGAGAACTCCTCATCCCAACAAAAACCACTTTTATTAATTGACTGTGAATTCTGCTCCTTCACATCCATCAAAGTCTTTCAAGGGAGGATTTATAGTCACAGACCTTATCTGGCTTGGAGAGCTGCCAGGCCAATCTCTGCAAAACTTGGCAAGGAGTCTCGGAGAGTCACAAACCAATTAAGNTCCTACCCTCAGGTGCCTTGGAGAATGGCTTAACTCCCTCTTCTTTGTAGCATTAGGTTTTGTGCCATTCCATTGTTGCAACTGGAACTAAGCAATGTATAACTTAGTCAAGACGAAGAGCACAATTCAGAGAGGGGAGGCGGTCTTGGAGGGCCTTGAGAGGATGAGAGAAGATAGATCTTTTTGGGTAGAATGAGACCATCATCAGTGGATTGAAACACCCCCCCCCCACCCATCAAAACCCAAAACGTTTTTGCGTGTGTCTGTGAAATAATATTCTTCCACTGAATATTAAATCACCCCCTGCTGCCACTAGATGGCACTGTGCCACGCCATCCTGCGAGAAAAATAAAACATGGCACCAGATTTAACAGAACTTGACAAGTTATTTTAATCCAATTTTCTATCGTTGACGGTATATGCATAAGCAGAATCTATATGCTCAGAGGCAGTATATCTCTGCAGGCCAGGATAGGCAGACAGGAAATTTAGGCTGTGACAGGAAAGATAAATTGGGCTAAATAGAGTTTAGGGCTTTAGCCAATCTTTCGCCTGCTACCTATCATGCATCAGAAATCAGTT